AAAACAATAAAACAATAAAACAAAAAGTTTTACGTGGCAGCTTTTATACAAAACATGCAGATCAAAGTGATTTACATTTAAAGATGAATACAAATAAACCACAGTCAAATTCCTGAAACGTCACATTGTGGGATGTTAACGTATGTATATGTACTGGTTTTATAGTTGTTTGACTGACTGATGTTCTTGTATTCTTCTTATCTCGTTATTGTACAGTGTCTTTGAGTATTCAGAAAAGCACTTTTTTAAATAAAATGTATTATTATTAACTACTAAAGTGCAAACATGGTTGATTGTCAGTGATGACGCAGTTTATATTAACACACACTTTGTACTTTCCATTACATTATTACAGGACACACATTTTCCTTCAGCCTCTTCGTGCCACGCTTTTAAGCCCCGACTGCTAAATTTAAATCAAAGTTAATGTATCAGGGGAGTTCGTCCTGAGGGAAAATTAGTCACCGTTTTCTTGGGAAAGAAGTACTCTGTCGTTTCTGTTAGTGGAGCGTGTATTGTTCTGTTCGAACCAAGCAGCCGGTATTGTATCGCTGCGACTCCACTAAAGGCCTGTTGTTTATTTGAGGCCTTATGACTGACTCACCAGCTTAAGCCAATCCTGGTCCGTCCTTCCTGACGGAGCTGCCAAGGTGACTGAGGGCACAGTCAGATGGGGTCTCTGACGCACAGCGCCGCAGGCAAAAAATAAACATTTTGGAATACGAGTGTGTGTGTTTTGAACTGGGGAAGGAAGCGAGTGCACGGCCAAACGATGGTAAATATTGACTGTGGATGGTAGGATGATCCTCCTGGCTGCTTCGGAAAGTCTCCAAATGCTGTTGAATAAAATAAGTTAAAGACAAAACCCAACTGCTGACTACTTTACTGAAGAAGTGTTCACAGACGCTGATCCTTTAGTCTCTAGAGTTCTCCTTCGGTCTGCGTGCCTCTCTGAATGTTCCTTTCTCCTCCCGCAGGCGCTACATGAAGCACAAGCGGGACGACGGAGCGGAGAAGCAGGACGAGGAGACGGTAGACGTCACCCCCATCATGATCTGTGTGTTCGTGGTGATGTGCTGCAGTATGCTGGTGCTACTCTACTTTTTCTACGACCGCCTGGGTACGACAGACACACATCCCTGATCCCGAACACACGTGATATAACACTCGATAGTGGCTTCAGCTCTCTGTGCCCAGTATTCATTGCTGTGTGGGGGGATGGTTCGACTCTCAGAGCCAGTCTGTAATTTTTCCCTCTCTCATTGTGGTCTGGCGTGGCTCAGTATGCATTCGCTTGGGAAACAGGCTGTGAAGATGACCGGCCGTGTTTTCCTTGAGTGCTGACAAATAATCTCAACTCATGGTTTTACTTTCTAGCCTTTCTCCCTTTCTTATCTTCCTGAGGCATCAGAACGAAGACTTTCAACACCTGATTTTATACGTGCACACTTCCCAGGCTGTCATTTGTCTTCTCGTTTTTAAACCGGATAAACCGAATCACTGTCACATGCCATCACCGCCCACAGTATGGGTTTAATTCGCTGAGGAGAAGGATTTAGAATCAGAAGATTGCTGGTTAAAAGCCCATCTGAGCAAATCTTGGATAATAATTCCTCCATTTAGCTCCAAGCCACTCAAGTTACAGCCGAGCCTTTATCCTAATTTCCTCTGGCAGAGCTGCTCAGCGTCCAGCTTTATAAGACTGTAGAGGCAGTTTACAGATCTGAATGTGTGAACCTCTTGAGTGTAGCTGTGCTGTGAAAAGAGCTTAATGGCTCAGATAACATTTCACTGATAAATTAAATTAAATAACACCTGGCAGCTGCTGAGACACAGTAAATACTGGACACACAGTGGTGAAACTGATACAACTATTCAGATATTTAAGGCCTAACGTCGTCAAACACCAAAAAAATGGTATTTCCTCAACAGCATATGAGTGGATATCACGTAATAAACTGCACTAATCTCCTGCCCGCCTGCTGTTTCCTCTCTGTTCAGCCATTTGGGTCATAGCCATCTTCTGTGTGGCCTCCTCTGTCGGCCTCCACAGCTGTCTGTGGCCTTTTGTCAGGAGACTCCCTTTCTGCAAGTGCAGGTGAGACAAGTCAAAGATGTTAGCTCAACACACGTCACATTGTTCCTCAATCTTCGTACGTTTGCATATGTTTTGTCCTGGACTCCCATTAATGTCACAACCCAGCCTGAAACCCGCCGTTCACTGTTGATATGAGATGTTGTGTTTACATTTACTGACGTGTGGGCCGTGTTTTGACCACAGGGTCCCGGAGAACAACTTGCCGTACTTGCACAAGCGGCCGCAGATCCGCATGTTGCTGCTGTCGGCGCTCTGCATTGGTGTCAGCATCACCTGGATGGTGTTTCGCAATGAAGACCAGTAAGTGCGAAGAGAACAGCGTGTCGGAGTCACTGCGAATGCTCACACAGACTCGCAGTCAGCATGTACAGTGGAAACCAGCCAGCAGCTGCGTTCAACCACAGATGTTCTTTCAGGATGTTGTTGTTTATGTGTTTAGATTACCAGGAAATTCTATTATAAAGGATGTTTAAATCCATCAGAGACAGTTTCACAATTTGTTTAAATTAAAGAAACGGAGTCAGACAGCAAATCTGGAGGCTTTTAAACAATGTTTTCACCATATGGACGCTGTTAGTAGTTAGTAGGTAGTTCAAAGATATTTAAATGTCTCATCGTGCACATCTTCATTTTTAGCCCATTTAAAAACAAAGAAAATTCACACACGACTTTCAAAGTCCTTGAACTTTATTAACAGATTAATCATGGTTCAGTTTTTATTAGTTAATTCAAGTCTTTTCACAACAAGCTCTTCTTTTCTAAACCTGGTTTCAGGTACAGAATATCTGTCTGTTTTATCCGAGCAACTGTGCCTTAATTATAACACAAAGGAACAAAATAAAAACACAAATATTGAAAAGCACAAAGGCTATAGAGACAACAGCATTACCATTATTATTGTACTGGTGTAAGAGCACATGTTTATAGCTCGTTGTGTGTCTGTGTGTGACATAACGGTAGCTCGTTCCTGTCTGAGTGTGAGAACATGTTGGAGGTTCATTATGTGACGACGGTGTGTGCTGACTCACGGTCTTGTTATGTGTCCTCCAGGTGGGCGTGGGTGTTACAGGACGCCCTGGGGATCGCCTTCTGTCTCTACATGCTCAAAACAGTCAGACTCCCCACATTTAAGGTGGGTCAGAACTCTCATAAACAACAACAATGTGAAGGTTTTAATTCTGTTTTACTAAATAATAAATGTTTTGTCTCTCCTCTGCAGGCTTGCACCTTACTACTGTCAGTCCTTTTCGTGTACGATGTCTTCTTCGTATTTATTACACCCTTCTTAACAAAGGTATGTCGACGCTGTTACTTACGGCTGTTCAGACGTCTGCTGTCTGTTTGCTGTGCGTCACGCTCACGCTGCTCTTCTCTCCACAGAGTGGGGAAAGTATAATGGTGGAGGTAGCGGCCGGTCCCTCTGACTCCTCCACACATGAAAAGGTGAGCTGGTGTTCAAACTCCTCTCAGCTCAGAGGAGGAGTGGTTGATGGGTAACACTGATGTTTGTGTTTCCTCCAGCTTCCCATGGTGCTCAAAGTGCCACGGTTAAACTCTTCTCCCCTGGCTCTGTGTGACCGGCCCTTCTCCCTCCTGGGTTTTGGTGATATCTTAGTACCAGGTAATTAACTGTGTCGTCATCAAACTGCCTCAACTCGCTGTGTGGTCGCAATCAGACAGTTATTTAACGAACAGTGACCACAGTCAGCCTATTTAGACCGTCCTTAGAGCAGAAAACACTGATGTGGTTGTTCATGGATGCTCATTTATTACTGTATAATTGCACATAACAAGATTTAGTTCTCACACATGAATAACTGCACAATTATGTATTTTTTATGCAACATTTAATTGAGAGAAACGTGGCTGAACACAGTTGCTTCTCTTTCTAATTAATCTGATTAATCTTAAAGCCTCTTTGTTGTTGTTGTTTCCAGGTCTGCTGGTGGCGTACTGTCACAGGTTTGACATTTTAACTCAGTCCTCCAGGATCTACTTTGTGGCCTGTACAATCGGTACGTACATGGGACATGTGAGGTTGTAATTGGTGAACTGTTGCTGCAGTGTTATAACGGGAGAGATTAACATTACAGGTGGAGGTGGGGAATAAAATGTCACAGAGTTATACTCACTGATGGTGAAACAGCAACACAGTGATCGATTAGAGACCTCATTTATTGATATATTTTACCAGGACGATGGAACCCAGTCTTTGATTGGCCACTGACACTATTTATAAAATAATAACATAATTAAAATACAAGTTAACTCATAGAAATATTGTTTCCTAAATTGGCCTTTATGTTGGAATCTATCAGATTTGACGTCTTATTTCACACTGAGCTGATAAACAAAAAGAATAGAGTAGAAAGACAAGCAGCTCTTCCAGTAACTCCACTAACATCCATTTAAAAAAATAAGTCATTCCAGACACGATTTAAATTGAGGATCAGCGAGTTAATTGAAAAGCAGTCTGTAAATGTGGTAATTCTTAACGGGGTGGGGGTGACACACACATACACACGCTCCGTACGGGATTATAAACACTGACCAGTGCAGATACTGTTAAAACCCCCCACATCCCCTGGAGAAATAAACCCAGGCTGAATGAGGTTTTAGACTGAACCTATATTATTTTAAGTGTTGGCTGGACTTTGAAACTATTGACCTTGTTCTCTCTCTCTCTCTCTCTCTCTGTCTGTCAGCATACGGCATCGGCCTGCTGATCACCTTCGTGGCCCTGGCCGTGATGCAGATGGGTCAGCCGGCCTTGCTCTACCTGGTGCCTTGCACTCTGCTCACCAGCCTCACTGTAGCACTGTGGCGCAGGGAGTTGCCCCAGTTCTGGACTGGAAGTGGATTTGTGGTGAATACCAGTTTGATATGACCGCCTACCGCCGAAGAACAAAAAGACTTAAAAAAAAAAAAAAAAGAAAGAAAACACAAAAACATCTAGTTAAATAACAATGCAGAGTAAAGTATACTTTTAAGTTGAGTAACCCCTTTAAATAATCCATCCGTTCCAACTGCCTCTTTCTGTTTCACTGTCCCCTCCTTCCCTTCCATCGCTGCTCCTCGCCCTTTATTTAACTGTGGGTGTAGTCTGCTGCTGAGGGCTCAGCTGTCTGTGAATGTCACTGCAGGTATTCAATCTGGGCTGATACTTTACACCATTAAAACATCCCGATCTTACTTAAGGTTCCTTTTTTGTTGTTTTTCCCCCTTTTAGAGTAGATGTTTGTTTGCAACTAGACTAGTCGTGAAGCTGTGACTGGTGGTGCTCATAGTGATGTAGATCAACATTAATATTGGTTGGCATGTGTTATGTGTGTGGTTCAGTGGGACTTTCTTTGATATGCTTCCCCTTTCTTTATGCCTATCTTTGGACTTTGTATGTGTGTGTACAGGAATACCTCTGACAGCATTACGGCTCCTTTCACTGTTTAACAGTTCATTTACTCTCCAGTCTACCTGTGGACAGAGGGATGACTGTATACTCTTTGGTTTTGTTTGTCTTCTGTTGTCATCGTTCAGTTTTGTTCTCCTCTCGACACAATCCAGCCGTCTTATGTAGACACTTGTTTTTGTCCCCTGCAGCCTGCCATAGTGCTCGCACCGATCAACTGTACACAAACCGCAGCGCCGCAGACAGAGGGGTCCTCGACTAAACCGGAGCCTCAAACCACAGAAGCCACCAATCAGAGCGAAGACTCACCCCGGCACTCGCCTCAGGAAACGCCGCTAGCCAGGAAAGACGAAGAGGGAAACAAATCTGACTGACGGGACGTCTAGTACGGCATTTACCATTTCACTTCATGTTTTATTCGCTGTTGAGGTTTTTTTTTTTTCTACATTGTGTCTCAGTCAATGGACATTTTAAGTACGGACATTTATTTGCACTCGGTGCGAAGGGAAGAGCAGGAGATCTGTTTTCTGAATGGCCGGCTCAGCGGGGCACCGGGATTGGACACGTGAATTTGAGGCATTTAAAACTGACAAAACACATCCGAGTATAAAACCCGCACAGCAGCGGCAGCAACACCTTCTACATACAGACAACATACAGTCTGTACCACCTCTAAAAGGGAATGAAAAGCCACATCTGGAAGCCACACCAGCTGCTGAACACTACATACGTTAAAACCCGAAGCCCCGGTCACACCAGCGGTTAAAACGGTGACATTTAACGGCAAATATCTATTAATTTCTACGGAATCACTGCGGTTAGTGGACAGGGGGAGTTAAAGTCCTGCTATCATATCCTGTTAGTGGTGTTACATACAGTTTATTTAACCTCTGATGGATCCATGAAAGAAGTAAAGCTCAGTTGTGACGATTCGAGGCTTTTTATTGTCAAACATGAAGGTAATCTGAATATCTTTGGGTTTCTTTAAGACGTGAAACTTGAGCTCTCAGAAATTAAAAAGGGATATTTTCACTTTTTTCTTACATTTTTGAGACAAAACGATTCATTAAGTATTGGCAGTTTGATAATCGGCAGATTTATCTATAAATGCTGGTTTATCATCAACTGTGTGAACTTCCTGTCCTGTTAGACAATCTTATGAACTGAGAGCTTTCTGTTCTCCTTTTAATAAATTAAATTAAATTAATATTCTAATTCTATTACTATCCATCTATTAAAAATAGAAGCAAGTTTAGAGATCAAGTGTGACTGACTGCTCGCTCGCAACTATCCCCGCAAGTGATCAATATGTCAACAAACGTCTAGAACCAAATATTTAGCTGTGCCACTTTCTGGTGGGACGGGTCCTTAAAAGGTCTCAATGTGTTCGAAATGAACTTGTTAGTACAAGAAGTGTCGTATGAAGACCAAATGTGTTTATAGCTGTTCCAAACAGCCGCACGTGAAGAGTTAAAACGCCTGTTGTCATAGAGATACAATGCTGAAATGGAGGTAAGGTTTAAGTTGTTGCACTATTCATTGTTGGTTGTAGTCCAGTGTTGGGAAGGTGGGTTTGAGACGCTGTTACAGTTCAATAAAGCACTTCCTTTTGAAGCATACGGAGGACACGAACATACACCCACTGCATAACAAAGCCTCCATTACATCATAAACAACACAGACTATAAAGTACAGCAGTGGAGACTTTGGTGCTATGATGGTTGTTGACTGAGCCAAAGCGATAAGATCCCTTTCTTTTTTTTATCTGAAGCATTTGTTGTTTTCTCATCTCACTTTTGGTATATTTTGTTTTTGCATGCTATGATTTAGATTGTTTTTGCCCTTTTTTTTTTATATATATATAAAAGCAGTGTATAATCTGTAGTGCAGACTTTGTAAACAGTGTCGGCGGTGCGACCGCCACAGATTTGCTCCCCAGTAGTTACTCATATTGTCTTAAGAATTTGTTTTCGGCCTTAAATGTGTCCGTGTCGGGAGGTTCAAGCAGAATGTGTAAAAGATGCTTTATAAAAAAAAAAACTACTGTACTGTACTTTAAATGATGACGTGCTGCAGTTTAACGTATGAGCCGAGGAGCGCGTGATGGGTTACCAATGTTCATAGATTAGTTTGTATGACGCATTTGCACAATATTTTTGAATTCATGGGCTGACAGAAGTTGTTGGTTCATGTCTGTATATGTTTATGTATAATCCATAAAAAAAAAGGTTTAAAGAAACGGAAACCGAGGTATCAATATATCCAATATACATTCATTTTGTTTTTCTAAGTCACTTCATTGTCTACACAGAATACATATTAGAGATATTTCTGATTCTCATTCATTTATGATGCCTGTTAACCAACATTTCTGTGTAGAAGTTGAGGTCAAAGGTCAAATGAGAGCGAGTTTAGTTGTCTGGATGTGTGCCCTCGCTGATTTCCAGGAGATTATTCATTCACCAGTATAGTTTGTTGTCACCAAGTGGTTTTTAATGCCTCTGTTGAGGAATACGTATAATAAAAAAAACATTGTATCTGATCTTTGAACTGTTTGTTTTTTTCCTGTTGGAACAATATCACACAGATTTACTAACAGCAGCTTTGTTCAAGTCGCTGCCTGTGTTAGAAACCGCCGCGTATCCAAGAACTGAGTCTCAACGTGTCCTTTCATTGTGGCCCTCCAGCTGTGAAAAAGGTCCACTTCTGTTCGGGGCTCTGCAGAAATGAACCGCAGTCCGACAAAGAGCCTCTTTGTCGCTTCAGCTCAGTCACTCAGAGTGGAGGGCTGTTTGAACTGGATTAGTCTCCGATCAACATGCTGTTGGATGGGTCGACACAGAGCGCCACACAGAGCGCCACACAGAGCGCCACACAGCAACACGAGTGTGCGTCTACATCTATTACTGCTGGACATTCAGCTTCCACCTGAATCTGAGTGTTTGTACTGAAGCTACTGTTAGCTGACATTCTCTGACAGCAGTGTAAGAGAGTAGTTGGTTGTATTCGTCTCACAGAGTCCCTGAAGTCCAGATAAAAAAATAAAACTAACCAAGAGAAGGTCGTCTGTGAGCGATGAGGCCTCACATGCCTCATTAATGATGAGCAGTCAGCAGGTTTAATAACACCCAGTGAGAGCAGCCAGAGTGATGTCAGCTTTACCAAATAAGAGGACTGTGGTGTTAAAACGCACACTCAGCTTTTGTTGCTGTAATCATTAGTACAAAATGTACCGTTTTTCTTTCTCTGGTGCTGAGCTGCAGTGGAGAGAAATCAAAACCAGGCAATAAAAATAAAAAAAGACACTAAGGAAGATACTCACATGATTTGTCACACTGCTAAAGCTTCATATTAGCATTAGATGAACTGTGGAATATATTTTTTACACAGAACAAGAACTGTGGATTTGAATCATCACTTAAATTGGGAGAATATTAAGAAGTGATCTCTTAATGGTCGGTATGAACAAGAGGAATGACACACATATGGTACATGTGGGCACCTGACTGCTGTTTTAGGATAGACTTGTGAACCTTCCCTTTAAAAGTTGTATTTTTTTGCTTTTATCAGCCAAAGTAAAATTACTCAGAATGTAAAACCATGTGTTACATTTTGATGTCTCACACTGGATTTAGTCTACAAAGCTGTGGAATCGACTGCCAAGACCTGAATGATATCGTTGATTGTTTTCAGCCACCTCCAGTTTTAAAAAACTATTTCAGGTTCTTTCAGCCACAAAAACACTCATCTTTTTATTCCATGACCCATTAGTTGGGATTTGGAAGAAATTTTACATGGAACCAAAAGGTGACAGCGGCCGATGTTTCTCTACCAGAGAAAATCACCAACATAATGTTAAATGTTAAATAACGCCAGAACGTTATTTAACAGTAAATTACAATCATTGTGTTACATTCTTATACATGTTTCCAGCAGCTTTCTGTCTGAAACAACCCTGCTGAAATCACCAAAGTGCACAAAGCAGCTCATAGTATTTACAAACAATAACTTTACAAAATGTAGTTTCTTCCACAAACCCCATTAATGTATGATTCAATTACAGCACACGCTGAGGAGCAGGACCACAGTACACATTGTAATCTGATTCATCCTGAAATAAACCTTTTGTGCTCGCACCTCACATCTAAAAAGGTGTAAACTTCACAAATCCACAGCCTCCTCGTACCGTATTTATCATTCATTATATTGAAAAGAAAGCTTTAAAGTGAAGACACGAGTGCTAAATGGTTAAAGACAACTTGCTTTCATTTAAAATAAGAAAAATAACTTCTCATAAAAGTCTTTGGCAAATTCTTTTGCTTTCACATCATTTTCATTTAAAATTTTATCTTTCCTAATGTACAAACGGGCGTCGCTTTTTACAGTTTTAGAACCAACCAATACCATAAATACTACATAAAAACAGGTGGTTTCCAGTAATAAAAATCCATAATCGTGACTGTCCTCTTCGTTCTGGACACACGTGGACGTCTTGAAGTCACGTCCAATGTTTTAACAGCTCCATCAGTCTTAGAAGTGTGTATAAGTCTGGACAAGGCCTCATCCAAACTCCAGTGTGTAGCTCAGGATTAAAGGAATATTACTTTCTCTTTGCCAGTTTCGAGTACCTCTTTGGGAAAAGGAGGCGGCACTGGTGGTGGAGCCTCGCCACTGCCCCTCTTGTACGTGCTGAAGGACTGAGATGTTTTCACATTGCGGACAGATCCTGGTGAGTTGAAGACCCCTGAAGGAAGAATGAAAATAATAATGAATAAATAAATGGAGCCACGGTAGATATCTGACTGTCTGATCTCTGTACTGACAACGATCTCCTCATCAAAGTAGGAGTTTTTTCTCCACAAGGGGGAGCTGTTCAGTCACTAACCAGCACTACAAAAGCACCACATACAGGAGAGGAAACCAATGGCAGCATGTGTTGATGTCGCCACCTACAGGCATAGAAAGTAGCTGCAGTTTTAATCTTTGCGCCACCTGCAGGTGATGAGTGTTACAGCTATTGTTTGTTTTGAGGTTTTACATTTAACACTTGTATCGCCTCTTTGCTAAAATACCATAATTAATTCCAATAGAAAATAATTGTGTCACACTAACTGCCAAAGGATATTAAATACAGAAAAATATTCACTTTTTGTTAAAGTTTTGTAAATTAGTTATTTATTTCCCTCTTTTAAACATCTGCATGAAGTGCAAGTTGTCTCTCTCTTTAAATCTTTAAAGAGTTCATGTCTCTACAATAAACAACAGATTATTAGAAATAAATAAGTTTATAGTTAAAATATTAACAGGAGGTGGTGAGTGTTGTTTGGATAGACTATCTGACTTTGTCTTAATGACTGAGTGAGAAGACATTTCTCTTTGACCGACTGCACCTGACTGGTAGATGGTTTGAGGACTGGCGTTCCTTTTGGATCTCAGACTGCCTCCTTCTTTCCCCGTCACTCGGATGGGCAGCACCTGGTTCACGTCTATAGAGGCTGGATGTAGAAAGACAGGACTGGGGTCAGTGTTGGGGTTTCAGTTTGCTAGCTGTGGTGACTAACTGCTGACGAACGGTGTTTCTTAAAATTTCAGCTGCAGCTAAATCAATAAATTAATTGTTTGTTCAGCGTCCACAAATGTTTTTCCATCTATAGACATAAACATCTGCTCTGAAAACAGATTTAAAACTCAACATTATCTGTTTACCTGCACTGTGCGTTCTCTGGTGGGACCCCTTCGACTTGGTGCCTTTCTCCTTTCCCTTGGACAGACCAGCCAGCTTGGTGGGGATCTGCTGCTGCACGACCGCAGGCTTGAGCACCTGGTTGGTGGTGCTGATCAGCTGGATGGGCAGCTCGGGTTTGGCCAGCATGGGGCTGATGCTCTCCCTGCGCGGCGGAACCTTTGGAGGAGTTTCCATCGGGTATGAGGAGGCGGCCAAGAGCTTCGGGGGTAAGGTCATATTCCAGCCTCCGTTCACTATGCTTCCCCTGAACGACTGGTAATTGGAGTGACTCCAGCACTAGGGAGAAAGATGGACAATGCATGGACTCAAACTTTGTTATTTCAGCTCAACTCTTTGACTTCTACCTGTGATGATTAACTACAAACTCTAGAGCTTCTTTCTGATTATGTACTTTATTATTAACAATTAGATTAAGGCTCAAGTTAGTTCTGATGAACTTGTTTCAGAGGATTTTAAACCACTATTGTTATATAGATTATAGAGTACAGACAAACTATGGACAGATGAAGGCAATAATGTTAATAAACATTCAATCTGATTCAAGTCCTATTCCTCACTTTTGCAGGATCCTCATACTTCTTCATTTTCTCTAGACGCTCCTTCTCCTGATCGAGACGCTCCTTTTCCTTGTCTACTGACTTTGTGCTTTCCCTCAGCCTCTCCAGGTCCTGCTGATAGCTTTTCTTCTGCTCCTCCAGCTCAGCCTTCTCCTCACTGAGCTTCTCCTCCCGCTTTCGACAGTCGTCCTCCCTCTGTTGCAGCTGAGCCTCCAGAGCCTCGATCTGAATCCTCTGCCGCTCCTTCTCCTTCTCCCAGTGCTGCTGCTCCTCTCGATGCTGAGCCTGCAGCTTGTGCAAATTGGCCAGCTCCTCCTTGTGCTTCTCCAAGTTGCGCTGCTTCTCCTGCTCGAGCAGCACGCTGCTATAATGACGCTGCTTGGTCTTTGACTGTAAAATGTTCTGCAGTTCAATCTGGCTGTCCTGCTCGGCGACGATTGCCTGCAAGAATTTAATATAAACATATGAAATCTACCACAGGCAAACAGACAATTTACTATTGGGGTAGAAAATTTAAGGCATTCTTCTCTCAAAATACACATTTAGCTTTACAATTATAGCCAAAAGCAAAAAGAAACATCTGAAAGAAGCTTACAAAAAGATGATTTCACTGTCTTACTTGTAAGCTGTAGAGCCTCTGTGCGAGCATTATCACTCTGTCACACACCTACGGAGAAGAAGAAGAGACAGACATTTTTGTATGAATACTGATGGAAAAATGAGGAAAATAGTTAACATAATAAGTAATAGAAGGTTTACCTCTCCCTCAAGGTAATGACTGAAGGTTAAATTATGGTTTGGCATTTGAGTGTCGTCATCAGCCTTGAAGCAAAATAGCATAAATAATTAAAATTCTTTTTATATTTTATCACCAGAATGAAAGTAAGGTTTGGTTTTCATGTGTGTCACTCACAGACTGTTCCAGGTCTTCACAGTACGTTTCCTGCAGCAGAGGGTCACTAATGGGGCGACTGCCCTCGCTGCCACCTGGCCTCTCAGTTGCATCTCCGGCTGAGAAAATGAAATCATACACATCCAAAGTTAATAAACATATTCACCTATTCGATATGGAGTAGAGTTGATAATATTTACTGTACAGGCACAAACAGCAGGATGACTTATTTGTCAGATTTTTAAAAAAAAAAGTTGAAAATGTGAGGGAAACCAATGCAATTAAAACAAATATTAAAATACAGCATGATGTACCAAAAGTGACTCATATGCATACTTCTGTGACGCTGATGCATGATGTATGATGCAAGAGTTCCTGAGAAAGTTCGGTCAAATTCCCAGACTACCTCTCTTAAAATGCCCGTCAATAGTTTGTGATATAGATCCTGTGAGTTGCACATTAATAAATACTAAATAAAACACATACTTCTGTCTGTCATTAATCAATTAGCCATGTTTTACTATGACTCCTTTTGAAATTTTAACATCAGATCATGTCACAGTCACGTTAGCTTTATGTCAGCTTACTTTTCATGATGCTAGCAGCAGGGTTGCTATCTGCCACTCCAAACGTCTCGGCCCTCCTGAGCAGCCCGCCCTGCATCTTACTCTCATCCAGGGGACGGTTTGGGTCTTTTATCCTCAACAAGAGCAGGTTCTGCAGGTTTTCCACTGCAGACAAAAGAAAAAATAACTCCTTAATCTCCACCTTAAAAGACAATATCAGTGCTCTGAGTCATGACTGTATGAGAAACAGAGTATATAAGGGAGTGCTTGCTTATGGTGGGAATTGTTGGATCACTGTCAATTGAAACAACAGAAATCATCTCCGGACACTTTACAGCAGGACTAGACCGTACTCCTTTAAAAATGATTTACAAACAAGACCGGTTGACACAACAGAGGCTGACAGATGTCTCAGCTCTTACCCTCATCAATGGCTCCTTTAAGCAGCGTCTCCCCCTGCTGGAGGTCGGAGGTGTCTCCTCGGAGCAGCAGCCCTTTGTGAGGGGTTTCCTGCTCCGTCACAGTCTCGTAGAGAGCAGCAAAGATCTGCTGTTTCTCTGTCAGATTTTGCTTTATAAGGTCATCCCTCATCTTTAGAATATCTAAAGAACAACAGCATAAAATAAACAAGTTTGTCTAATAAATGCAGTGGAAATGTAGAGGCAATTTGACTGAGCATGGCTGCCCCTTTCCAGTGATTCCTGCTTTATATAGTGCAAATAAACAAGAAAACAGCATTTGAAGAAAAAGTAGAGGTTGTAGGCACACTGACATTTTCTAAAACAATCTACAAATGCAACATCACAACCTCCAAGGTCTTCATCTTAGTGTGTGGACAACCTCCAACAAATACAAATAATATAAGTTTTTTTTAGTTTACATAACCTAACCCTTCCTAAATCAAATACCTCAAAACAAGCCCCAACAAGCAGAATAAAACCCAATCCTAATGTGTTAAGGACGTCACTGTCTAGCTGCTGTCACACTGGAGAAGTGGAGCCAACATTAAATTGTGTGTTTACAAGCAGTAACCAACGAATCCTACTCAGTCTGCCTTTAAAGGACGAGTGTGTACGATTTAGTGGCATTTTGTTTCATTGAATGTGAAACACATTGATTCATTGATCATTTTCCTATAACATTCTTGTACCACCACAAACTGACAGGATGCTCTTTGTGATTTATTGAGTGGCCGACCATCTCGACTGTCTTACCTTGATATTGTTGCAGTTTAGCAGTCAGTTCTCGGTACAGCTGCTCATCTGGATAGCTGAATCAGATCGACAGTATTG